ATCCTTTCTTCCCCCCGCCTGTACTGATACTGGGGGTTACCCCGACCCAGGTGCAGGACCTTGCACTTGGCCTTTTTGAACCTCATGAGGTTCACACAGGCCCACGTCTCTAGCCTGTCCAGGTCTCTCTGGCTGACATCCTGTCCTTCTGGTGTGTCAACCGCACCACTCAGCTTGGTGTCATCCGCAAACTTGCTGAGGGTGCACTCGATCTCGCTGTCTAAGTCATTGATGAAAACATTAAACAGCACCAGTCCCAGTACGGACATCGAGCCATTGACCACTACCCTCTGGTCGCAACCATCCAGCCAGTTCCTTATCCACCGAACAGTCCACCCATCAAATCCATAGCTCTCCAATTTAGAGAGAAGGATGTTGTGGGGGACCGTGTCAAAGGCTTTGCAGAAGTCCAGATAGATGATGTCTGTTGGTTTTCCCTTGTCCACTGATGCTGTCACTCCATCATAGAAAGCCACTAGGTTTGTCAGGCAGGACTTGCCCTTGGTGAAGCCATGCTGGCTATCTCGAATTACCTCCCTGGCCTCCATGTGCCTGAACTTGTATATGGAAAAATAATTCTTAGGCTTACTACATAAATTAATTTAAGTTGGTCAGCATGATTTGGTGCTGTGAGTTTGTTGGCAATAACATTTTTAAGATGTGAGAAGTATGGTGTGTTTCATGTCCCTTCAGTGACAAAGTTCCAGACATATTTCCAGTAGTTTTCAAGACATATAACCTTGCATGAAGTAGAGGAATATAAACAAATTATATCTTATTAGCAGTAATCACAATGTCAATACAGCATGACTGTTAAGAGCAGGTATGTTTTTCTGATTCTAAGGTAGGATAATCCTGGGAATTCTGTGCTATAACTCGATGCAGCATTTATGGCTAAGCAGTTAGGGAGTGCAGTTGCAGTGCTCTTGTCTCTTTATGTATCTGGTTTTGTGTGAAGTAAGGGCAAAGGATGTGAAACCAAGTTGTATATGAGACATGAGCTATACAAAGTATGAGAATTTCAGTTTCCATGTAGATGTGTGAGAATGTTTCCTAAGACCCAAGAAATCGCACACCACCAGAAACGTTTGTATCTCTAGCTAGAGGACTAATAGCCTAAAAAAGGTACCATTTTCCTAAGAAGATACTCCCCTCCCCCATGTCATCTTACCTAGTGAAGGTTGAAGCAACCTTGCAAAGAACAGGATAGAAGTGTGTTTTTCTGTCATTATCCCAGCTGGAGCCATAGGAGAAGTGGCTTCCAGGCTGCTGTCTTGTGCTGCCAGGAAAATCTTCTGCAAGAGAGTGAAGAGAATAGACTATTGACTGTGCTTTCCTGCAGTGTCTCCTCCAGAGAAGGCCCTGAAAATGCTTGTCTAGAGGAATAAATCCCGTAGCAGTAATTACACTTACAGACTCCATGTCCCTTTCCTTCTGCTCAGAGTCAGGTTGAAGGTGGGGAAGGAGGAAGCTCTGATATTCAGGATGGCGTTCATACTCAGTTGTCCTGGCCTGCCTGTTGATTTGGTTTGCCTCCCTCACAGCACCTTTTACAGTGGTCATGAGTTTCTTGTGTTCCTGTTAGGAATATCCCTTGGTAGGTGCCTCCTTACTGCTTCAGATGCTCTGGGCTTGCATTAGGCAAGGTGTGGGTCCTTGCCCATCTCCTTCTTCCTCTGCCTTGCTGTCTCGAGGCTGCTGTTAATGCCTTCTGCTGCTGACCTGGCTTTGCCCCTGTTAATAATAGAAGAAATAGAAAAGGGAGAGGCATTGTTAAAAATAAATTCTCCCAGGTCAAGTGTTTATTGCCATGTCTGTCATTTATGGAAAATGAAAATTTAAGTTTAGCCATGCTTTGAAAGTCCCTAAAGGTTTTACCGCGTTGTGGGTTTGTGTTTACAATTTCCATGCTTATACTGCTATGTAATTTGAAAGGTATTATATAAAAATTGTTGTCTTGTCAAGCTGTAACTGAAAATTTAAGTTGTAGTCATCTTACAAGTTCTTCTGAATTTAGGCTTTACTATGTGTCTGCAATCCACGCCTGATATTATATTTATTTCCTGCATAGTGCAGTCCATAATACTAATGTTTGAAAATTATTAATAATGTTCTGCATGAATATTCTTTGCTTGTGGTAAATGATAAAGCCATGAAAATAAGTTTGTGAATTGGATTATCTTTAGTATTCATTTTCTCAGGGTGAATTGTAATTGTGCAAGTACAAAATTAAAATTAGCGCTACGAGGGAAAACATAAATGATTAAAATATGGGTAACTTCTAGCTAATATAATATGTAATGACACAATTAGTTCCAGATATCTCCCAAGAAAGTTTTTAGTCTTGTGTAATTGCTGAAAAGTTTTACCCTGCATTAGAGAATCTATTGCTTAAATTCTTAAAGAACTATTAATGATAACTTGTCTATAGGCATTGGAATTCATTAATTGTTAGTGGTTGCTTCCATTGTGGCTGTAGTCAAAGGCCACTACGTGCTTTTGTCTGCGTGGTGTATGGGATAATGCTGTTTTCTCTTGAAGTATCTACACTCTTCTTCAGAATCAGTTGTAACAGCTGTTTTGAATTATTCAAAATGATATCGGCGAGGCATATAGAATTCTTGGCATGTCTCTCCACCCCACCTATTCATGTTTTGAAGTGGGGTATGGGTCCGCATGACAGCCTACCTGATGTGCTGGCTAGAAGCTGCTGAAAGGACAGGTTACTCCTATGGCTTCCCCAAGTCCTTCCTCTCCTTCCTGCATGCTCCTTCTGCTTCTCATCTGGCAGTTTATCTGACCTGTGATATACTGGTGCAGGGAGGTAAGCTGGCAGAAAATATACTTTACCAAAACACAAAAATTTTTCAGTGCCCCTGAATCAAATTATTGCTGGGGGAGAGAGGAGCTGAAATAGCCATTGAAGGGACTGGTCAAGGTTGGGTAGTCAGGGCTGTGCCTTCTGGTAGGCGATAACTTTTAGTCTGCTGTAGCTAAAAATGAAACCTTAAAAAGGGCGGTTAGGGAAATTTCCAAGTTTTTATGGGTGTCTTGAGGAGAAGCAGGGCTTTCAGGAGTGCAGGACCAACTGGCTTGTTAGTGTGGAGGAGGACTTTTTCCACCTTGTAGCCCAGGTCAGTCCTGGGCAATCAGGCCACACCTTCATTCCTTTACCCAGTTGTGGTTTTGCTGTCGTTTACTTCCCTAGAAGCATTTCTTACCATTAGTTTCAGTTTAGTGTCCCTATGACTGTAGGGTCAGTGCCAAGTGGCACAACTGGTTGAGCACCAGTGAGTAATTCTTATGCTAACTCAAGCTGTAATCTCCTGTTCATGCAATATTTAGCTTTCCTGTTTATCACTTTAGCTACTAGCTGCCTTCAGCTCAGGGCTTGTTCTGCTGTTAGCTTGATTGCTCAAACTTAAGCAAAATTAAAGACTGAATACTTTTTTTTTTTTTTTTTTTTAAATTAAACTTATCTTCTCAGCCTCTGAGCATCAGAGCACCTGATCCTGCAGTCAGTATGCAGGAAATAAAACTTGGCTTCACTGGGGAGGGCTTGCCCAGACATTCATGTAGTGTTTGTGCACTGCCTGTGTAACCAGGTTTCTGCATTCTAAGGAAAAAAGCCAGCAAGTGTGTTGAGAAGGACTTATTAGGAGGGTGTGATTAGGAGTGGTTATGATGTAGAAGTGCAGAAAAGGAATAAAAGATCATAATTGAGAAGGAAGAGGGTGTAAAAACACTCTTATCAACTATAAGCCCTTTTTTACAATTCAAGTGACTATGGCTCATTCAGATAATGTAATTCAAATGGCTCATTCAACTGCTAAGTGTATGTGCTAGTGACTGAAACGATGATTTCTGTGGTGGTGGCATTCTTGCTCCTGGGAAAGGTCATGGTAGAGTAGAGGGAGAGAAATTCAGACAAGGTGTTTGGTTAAGCTTTGCCCCAAAGAGGAGGGATTTGTCTCAGGAAATGTGGAGCATGAAATATGCAATGTATGTTTACTATGTAAAACCTTTGTTCGGTGTATTTCATGCTTCTCAAAGGCCAGAAACTTGTTTTTATTTATTTGTCAAGAAATCTTAAAAGCAGCTTGCTTTACCATAAAGGTTCAAGCTAGAGTGCTGTCTTGGTGTTTTGGTTTGTGGTGTGGTGTTTTTTTGTTTGGTTGGTTTTGGTTTTTTTTTTGTTTTTTTTTTTTTTTTTTAAGTACTACTTCTCCCTCATAAGACAAACTGTAGCACTCCTTCTTGCCGTGGCCTGGCTGGTGTTTTTCCATCACAGAAATCAAGCTTGCAGCTCCTTCTGAGGTAAGTGGTGTATCAAGGAACACTTGCTGTGTATAAAAGGATATCTCACAAATTTTACCTCCTCCATTTCTATGCAACTTGTCTGTGTGTGAGGAGTAAATTCAAGTACCACTTTGCAGATTGTTGCGCTAGGAATCTTTATTAAGTATTGTATGGGATGAGTAAGGTTTGCGCTAGGCTAGTGCTCTGCGGTTTAATCTCCTATGAAAAAAATTGAGATATTTTTGATCAAACCCTGGATCCAGATGCTCTAAGCACTGGTTGAGTCTTGATGTGGGTCTGTACCTTTTGTAGCTCCCTTTGATTTCTAGGGTGCATTGACTCCGAGTCCTGTAGCTGTTGAAGCTATCTTAGTCCACATTTCTGAAGAAGCAAAACCAGACTGGAAGATTAAAAAGAAAAATTGAAGTGGCACAGAAAACCACTTCAGAGGCTTAGGTTCATAAGTGTCTTTGTTTTAGCAAATGAGGCTGGCTACTCAGCTATTTACAAATTTTATCCACTTGTCATATTAAAACTGTCTTATTAGTTGATACTGCTGTACAACAGATGGAATACCTGTGGAAACAATTTCTTGAAATACTGTGTGAAACTGAACATCTGATGATTTGTCTGAAGTTTTTTGCCCCAGGAGAAAAAAATCTATACAGTGATCCACACATGATATGTATGATATCAGATATAAAGCAGATATAGCAATGGCATGTATTTTTATCTTTACAGTCTATTACAGAATTACATTAGGTTTTTTTAAGACCATAGTTTTGGTTTTATTCCTTAAAATAGCACAGAATAACGTCTCTTACTTAAGAGTGTCCTTTTCTGTGGCTGAGACAGTAGATGAACTGTGCTGATGAGCACTGAAAAGAGTGGCAGGTCAGGCATAATAATAGCAAGAGAGTTATAAAGGCTCTTAGTTAGCAACCCAGTTACTGAAACAAGTTAATCTTGCCACTTCTAATAGATACCTAGTGTTTTATTAGACATGCAGTCAGTCTGTATATTGCTCATATGTGGCTTTTGCTGCCACTTAATAGCCTTTGCCGCTTTGGCAGTCACGTTGATTGAATTACACTATTTTATGTGGTTAGTGCCTTATTGTGTGTTCTGATAAGTCAAAACTACTTAAATTAGATTTTTAATGGAACTCCATAAGGAGTGCAGACATACTGAGCATTGTATGCAAACCAATTAGACCCCTATAAAGACTTTGTGGAAATTTGGGGTGAGGTTGTTTTACTGGACTCGCCTTTCTAGTGAAAAGTGTGCTGACTGGAGAATTCTGTTGTGCATATATATATATATATATGTATATATATACATAAAAAAAATATAACACAGGCTGGATTCACTTGTGCTGAGTTAATGCCCCTTATAGGATTTAGGATTAAAAATAAAAAAATGTATGGGAGGTGGGGGGGTGTGTGTTTGTGCTGCGATATGTATTCAGCCAACTTCTCACTGATGAGGAAGTTACTGGATTTATCAAGACTTACGTAGTTTCATTTTTGTAGTGTTTTTATTCACTGTTTCAGGAAAGGTTTACTCTTCTGTTCCTTTTCACTGCCTTTATAGAAATGTCCTTTGCAATAACACATGTCACTTGACTTATGTTCTTATCTGAGGAGACTGTTGTAAGATTTCTCACTTGTAAGGGTTGGTTGTCATTTTCCTCCCTTTCTGCCACCAGATGAATGAAGCTTTTGTAAACAGTCTTTGACAAACAGCTTGGGATAGGGGGTCAATCAAAGCAAAGGGCAGCACTCACCTTTTTAATTGGTCTTGCTCAAGTATAAAACTAAAGATATTCTCAGCTGATGGGTATATTTTAATGTGTATATGAGGAACACAACAGATGAAGGATGATCCTGTAGCTCAGATGCATAGTTGGAGGATTAGAGCCCTTGTTTAGTCACTGGCTTCATCTGTGAAATTGAATAAGGTCTTTCATTGCTTGCCTATTTGAGAGAGATTTGAAGTTTATTGCATTCACCCATATACTTAGAAGTTGTTGATAGCATGTAAAATAGAAAATAATTATATGTTTGTATATCACCTTAAGGGCAATACTTGACCTTAGCCCACTTGAATTCCTTAAAATGTGATTATAGGCAGCAGAAGGCATATCTGCTATAAATTTAATAGTACCACTAGGAAAAAGTCCAACACCAACTGATTTATACATATATTTAGAATCAACACGGCTTTTCAAAATTGCTAAAATATGTCCTAATTCTGCCAGAGCTGAAAGCTTTGCTGTGCAAAACTTTATGGCCCATGCAATTTGCCAGATCAGAATATTGTGGTGCTAGATCATATGACGGTTCCTTCTAGCTTCAAAAGCTGTGAAACTTGCTTGTCCTTGGGCCAAGAAAAAAGTGTATGAGTGGGGAAAAAAAGCAGCTTAACCAATACCATAAAAAACAAAACAAACAACAAAACAAAACAGAAAAGGAGCTGGTGGAATCTGAATTACACCAGACTAAAGAAAATGTCAGTGTGAAAAATTGTTTACCTGAAATGAGCTCAGGAGACATAACCTAGAGAGCTGCTCTAAGCAGAAGGGATATGGAATATTTCTGGGAAAAACTGATTGTAGAGGAAGAACATGTCAATTTTTTTATAGTATTGGTCTGCTGTGGATGGTAGTGTGATTTAAATCACTTACCAAATCAAAGAGAATTTAGCAGATGGAAGCTAAAGTAACAATGTATGTATGGTATGAAGGATTATGAAAGATGTTTTCTGATTTTTTTGCATGTATGTGTAAAAAAAAAAAAATTCTCTCATATTTGGAAAGATGAGACCTACAGTCCTTATTTCTCTGGAAAGTTACAAGGCTGTGGCCCTTCTGTGTGACTCATGGGAACATTTGAAAGAATGAAGGGGAAGTGGAAATTACAGGTCTAGGAAGAGATTTGTAATTTCTGCACAAGATTTGAATTTCCTGAAGTTGAGAAACATCTTAAAGAGAAGATAAAAGTGTTTTAAATGAACAGGATTTCTTAATTGAAAAGATCTCTAAGAACTTGTATGCAAACTGGTGTGGAGGGAACTGGATTTTGGGCTGGGCAGTAGAAGATTGTGTCTTTGTGTTTGGCCAGGAGAGCTGTGGGCTGGAAGCACCAAGGCTAGACAGGTTAGCTGGAGAGCCTGGGGCTGTTTGCATGGTGGCATCAGGGTGGTTACACTGCCTGGTGGTGGAAGAGCATGTAGGTACCACGGCCTGTACCAATGAACGTGGATGTTGCCTGCAATTCTGAATGTCCTGTTTCAAAGTTGGTTTTAGCCTCTTATCTCCTGATATCTTATCCTCCTGAGTCTCAGGAGGAATTGAATTATTAAAGGACATGTTCTGCCTTTGAACCAGTAGCTCTCAGCAATGTCAGTGCTTCCTGTGCACAGAATACAGTGATGTTTGGCTTTCTGTTGAGGAGAGCCGTGTAGGGCTCTGGTCTCTTCTGCAGTGATCCTTCCCTTTCTAATCTGCTTTGAGGCAGATTAAATAATTTACAGAACTCCCAAGAAATAATTATGGAGCCAAATTCCTTGTCTTTAAAGATTTCCTTGGGAGTTGTGACTTTGGGAGTATGTCTGTTCAGACCAACTGTACTGTAGACTTACTAATTTTTAATTTTCTTATCTTCTTTTTAACCTCCCTCATGGAGTCTTATAAACTGTAACTGTCTGTACACATACTATTTTATGACCCTTGTAGTTAGGGCTGCTTGTGAAGGAACTTATTTGGTAGTCATTCTCATATGTTCACTTAGGCTTTAATTATAAAATTCATTTCTACTAAAAAGTACTTTACTAATAGCTGTCTATTATTATTTGAAAGATTATGCTTGCTTTTCTGCTTGATAGCACATAGGGATTCAGTATCAGTTTTAAAAACTGCATTTGTTGGGACATGTCAATGTCGATCCATTTTACAGCTGGAAGGTAACGGCATTTTAAATATTCATTTTATTTCCTAGATACGAAGTCACCTGTACTGTGTATTTACCGCTCCCCATTTTGCTGTAAATTCTTCGAGGCATGAAATAGCTTGCCAGTTGTCTCTTATGCTCAGAAGTTAATGAATGGTTATCAGTTTATTGTAGATAATAACTTAGCTACAAACCGTAATGCATGGATAAGCTCATTGTGTAGAATTTTTGCCTTAAGACAGTGTTTAATCGGTGGTTGTAGGTTTAGTAATGTCATCCCAGGCTGTGCCTTCCCCCAGGTCTCCAACAGGAACCTCCTCCTCCTTCCCTGCCATCCTGCCCTATTCTGAGAGCAGACGAGGTTAGAAACTTTCCTTAGCTTTGAAATGCTTCCAATTTTGCCACAAATTTTTAGTAGCTTTTAGTAGAGCAGATGTTTTGGCTTTATCTTGCCATGAATCCTTAGTATTCGTTCCAACTGGTGGGAATAAATGACCTCTAGTTTTCCCTGAGCTTGTACCTATTCAGTAAAGTCTGTCCTTGATGTGTGTATGCCTTGTTTACGGCTGTTGGGGATGCGAGTTCACAATCAGGAACAACAAAATCTCTGTGGACTCACTCCTGCAATTATCTCCTATCAGAATTTCTAATAAAGAGAGAAAAGGCTTTAAATTTTTTGAATTCTTATGTCTCCTAGAATTAATAATTTCCAAAAGTGCATTTTGTTGTTCACATGCATTTTGTTTCTAGGCGTATGTATGCTTCTTATGCAATAAAAAAAGCTGGATTTTAATTTGAATTGGAATAATTTTAATTGGAAGAACAGTATGTTCTCTTAAACTTATCTTGTAGCTGAAATACAGAAATAGAAAATTATGTTTTAACAGTCTCTAATTTAGTTTGTATTTTTAAGAAGTTATTTCCCAACCAACTTTAGATCAAATTAATTAAAAAACCCATTAATTCCTTTTCTTTTATTTTACAGTGGCTGAGGATGTATTTAACAAATAAATATGGTGTGCATTCAGGGACACAAGTTTTATTATAGCAGTAAGGTTACTGCTGGCA